TATTACAACTTAAATCCTATCTATCCACTTACAACAGGCACAGAACAAGCAACAGTACTAAAGTCAAGCAATGCTCTGCTAGATAAGCTGCAGATCCTAAATATGTTATCCAAATATGTGGACTGTAGAACAGTACCTGATCAGATCTGCTCTTTCTGCCCTATCAGTCTCCTTCAGCTTCTTTCTCTCCCTCTCCTCGCCTGTTTAATAACATATTACCTTTAAAAACCTCAGATTTACAAGAACTCCAGGCTTTGCAAAAGATCAAACCATTAAAAATTTTTTATCTGGCAAAAAATCTCCTCGCCTGACCGTCCAGCAGAGCGGCAGCCTCTCATAAGGACATTTCGAATATCCATCTACAGGTTAAAAACTGAGGCAAATAAAACTGCATTATGATCTACATTATGTGACCTTTTCACTGACATTAACTTACCGTAAATATCAGCCTGTGGCTAAAGCTAACGTGACTGTTTCTACTATTGAAGAGAAATGAAAACAAAGAATGTAAAGAGCTGTCACTAACGTTATTTCTGTCTCGTTCGCTCTTTCTTAAAATTAAAATATAGTTAGCTTGTCAGCTCGCTAGCTCACATCAGTGTTAGCCTAGCCCCTTTTCTTAAACCTGAAGTTAGCTAGCTAGCTAACAAGCAATCGTTAAAAACGCAAGCTATATCGATCACAAACCCACCACAGGTGGGTATCTTCACTCTGTAGCTACTTACTGTTTCACTCTGTATACAATATATTTTGAATAAAGCTTAAAGTTTATTCTAATAAGCTTTTAACTGATATTCTGTGGCAACTTCAGTGGTTGACGTTGCCAGACGTTACTTTGCAGAGCTAGTAGCACCAGAGACCCGCCCCCAGGTCTGATATGATTGGATTACAACTGACGAGGTCTGATATGATTGGCCGAGCCGGGGTCAGACCTTTCTCCTCTTCTGTTACGTCACAGAGCCAGTTTATGCGGACCCCGGTCTCTTCCTACTTTTAATATCAAAATGGAGGACGCCTGCCAGCCTAAAACGAAAGGTTAAAATCGTTTAAGAAACACAAAAGACTACAGAGAGGTAATTCTCCTCTATACAGGCATAGATATACATACAGACATGGGTATATATATCTATGTATACAAGTCCTCTGCCTCAGCTGAGCGCCTCCTCTAGGTCCAGTGCCCTGCCTTCACTAGTAAATTGTGAATTTGGAGACAGCTAAATAATAAAGAATGAGAAAAATGAACGGATGAACAAATGGTGTGATTTTACGGAGCCCTGCTGGTGACATCCCATATAAATAAAGGTTAACACGTGAGAACGAGATCCTAATGCATGGTCACGACTTAGTAAGCTGTGGGAACGAGATCTGATTTTACATTTAATTAAATCAGAAATTATATTGTTACATGTAAAAATGTACTACAAGCTAAAATTCCAATTATTACACTGTTTGAAAATACAAATGTATTCATTTCATACAAGAATACAGCATCTTTCCTTTTTATGTAAGAGCTCTAGTTTCACTTTTAACACCTGTGAACTTTCAAAATCTCAAAATGTAACTTCTACTCATAAAAACTGTCTTGGTAGATGATGGAATTTAATTCATACTAGTATAAACTGTTCCACTGTGATGTTTTAGTTATCAAAAACTCTTAAAAAGATGTTTTTTCAAGGGTTCTTTAGTAAAGAAAATGGTTCTATACATCATCCAAAAGGGTTCTTCTGTTATTATACGCTTGATGTTGTAACAATAGAAGAGCTCTTTTTGGTGCTACATAGAACCATTTTCAAGAATCCACAGCACATTCTCCATCAATCTGAGGAACCCTTTAATCATGCTAAGGGTTCACTGAGTGTTCATGGTTCTATAAAGAACCATGTTCTTTACTAAAGAACCCTTGAAGAAGCATCTTTTTAAAAGCGTACAGCCTAAATAGTGCAAAAAAGCTAAAGCGACTTCCCATCCTGAGGAACTGACGCTGTAATTTTCCTCCTACTCAAACCTATTCATGAGGAAATTTCTTTTAAGAATGACAGTAATTTCTTTTTTATGCTTACATTAGCAGCAATATCTGTACTGCCTTGAGGTCGCACCTGTTTGGAGGATTATTATGCTATTTTAGGCTGAGAGTGAATTAAAAAGTGAAAAACAGAGTTTAACTTCAGTTCCTGTGCTAAAAGATACTAGATGTACTAAGATGTTACACAGAGTAAGGTTTATTGAACTGATACTTTCATTAACTTTTACCTGAGTCGATAACATACAGACCTAACAACACTTTAACATAGTTATGGGTTTCGGTTGTTGCACCCACTTCCAATAAAGCAATAAGCCACGAGATGCCGTGGGTTACTGCGGTAGTAATCGACATAAACAAGTATTCCGCCAAGAAATATAGTTCCTTTAGAGAGCGGTATCGTTGGTAAGCAGCCGCTGACCGCTAAATGAGGAGAAGAACGTTCGGTTGACAGTCACTGTAAACTGCAGACATTTCACGATTTTTAAAACTTTTTTCGTATAACAGTGAACATATGATAACACAGCACTGTTTAATATAAAAAACAAAAACGTTGATAAGTACTTTTGGTCACCAAATCACCGCCGCGGGTCTTCTGCCAGTCTGACGACGCCACTTTTCTGAGGCTGGGGCTGAATCTCAAACGGCTCCCTGCTCCCTACATAGTGCACTAGGTTGAAATTGAAATACTGACTCTTGCACCCTAACAATCCAAAATATCGCTAAAAATGGTCATTTGGGATTCATCCACATTCATACTTGACAAGCAATGCATTATTTGACAGAAGCTAGAAAATATATACTTAACATTACACAGCACACTATTTAACGAGGGAGTACGGAGCCGTTTGGGATTCAGCCTGGGTTTGATGCTACTTCTGACTGAAACACGGACATTTGAAGCGTGTAGGTTAAGACATTCGGGTGACATTCTTTAGACTTTTATATTGCCGTTTGTCAGTAAATCATATCGTGAGTACTTTAATTCAAGCCTGTGGTATTAATGTTGGAGTTGTTTAGCATGTTTGCTATCTTTTAGCCTGTTAGTTAGCTGACCAACCTGGTTCTAGTAAAGAAAGTAAGTTTTCAGCCTCTCAGTTTAAACGAAAACGGGTTCTTACTTCATCACAGTGAACACTCTGTGCTCCGTGCGATCAGTCACAGATTAATTCATTAGCTAGCAGCTGAAGGTTTGTTCTTGCCGTGGCGCAGTAATACACAGTTCAGTTGTTGTGAAGCGGTCATAGCCGTGGTATGTAGTGGATTTTACAACGGCTTCGAACGCGGCTTAGCCAATCAGATTTTAGGACCGGAACTATCCGTTTAATAATAGTGTATACATTACAGATGGGCGATGTGGCAAAAGTATAATATCACGATACTATAAATGTTCAAGATACATGTTATTTCACAATATTTATTTTTTTTAGATATCTGATCAGTTGGAACTGAGAAAAAAGAATCAGTAGTGCTACATTAAAAAAAATACTATAAAAAACCAATACAGTGATTTTTATTCAGTATTTGGCACTAAATTCAGTTAAACTTGACTAATGTTGCTCTCTTTATAATAAAACATGCAGTTGGTCAGTGTTTTACAAGTACTGACGATATACACAATCTATTCAGAGAAGTATATTTTACTGTATCGTGACATATCATGTTAATGATATGTATTGTCATATTGTCCAGCCCTACACTTAAAAATTATGGTTTATCAAAGGCTCTTTAATAAAGAAAATGAACCATGAACACTCAAAGAACGCTTCACATGATTAAAGGGTATTTTGCATTGTTAAAGGGTTCTTTAGATTGATGGAAAATGTGCTGTAGATAATTCTACAGAGAACCTTTTTGGAAATGGCTCTATATAGCACCAAACAGTGTTCTGCTATTGGTATGATATCAAGCATGTATCAATAGAAGAACCCTTTTTGGTGCTATATGGAGCCATTTTCAAAAAGTCTCTATATAGTATAGTCTCTATATAGTAATATTGTATACAAAATTTATCTCCATCAATCTGAAGAACCATTTGATGATGCAAAGAACCATTTAATTGTGCAAAGGGTTGTTTGAGTGTTCATGGTTCTATAGAGAACCAGTTTCTTTATTAAAGAACCTTTAAAGAACCATCTTTTTAAGAACATAGAGTTTCTTAAAAAGATGCTTCTTCAGGGGTTCTTTAGAAAAGGGAATGATTCTACTTACAACCATGAACATTCAAAGAACCCTTTGCATGATTAAATGGTTCTTTGTGTGGTAAAAGGGTTCTTCAGATTGATGGAGATTCATGTTGTATATGGTTCTATATAGAGCCTTTTTGAAAATGGTTCTCTGAGTGCTTATGGTTCTATATAATAATTACATTTAAGTTTTTTAAACACCTCAGTGTCACCAAAAATATCCACCCAGCAGTGTCTTTTGACCACTGATGAAGGACTAGAGGATGACCAACACAGCAGCAGCAGATGAGCTATCATCTCTGACTTTACATCTACAAGGTGGACTGACAAGGTAGAAGTCTCTAATAGAGTGGACAGTCAGTGGACACAGTGTTTAAGAACTCCAGCAGCACTGCTGTGTCTGATCCACTCAGACCAGCGCAACACACACTAACACACCACCACCACGTCAGTGTCGCTGCAGTGCTGAGAATGATCCAAAACCCAAGCGATACATGCTCTGTGGTGGTCCTGACCAATGAAGAACAGGGTAAAAAAGTATGCAGAGAAACAGATGAACTACAGTCTGTAATTGTAGAACTACAAAGTGCTCCTATATGATCAGTGGAGCTGATAAAATGGACAATGAGTGTAGATACAAGGTAGGTGTACCTAATAAAGTGCTCAGTGAGTGTGAATTGTCATATTGCCCAGTCCTAGCGTAAATCATGAATGAAAGCTTCATACTGAACTCCTCGAACTACATTTCCCATGATGCCTCACCAACAGCTTGATGTCAACATTGCTGTTGTCAGTCAGACAAAAGGCGGATCAGTCAGAGACTGAGAGCAGAAGGAGGCCGGACAGGCTGGAGATTCACTCCAAAAAATAACCTGCAGCATTCTGGCACTGGCGGTTTGAAGGCGGTATTAAATGGTCTGGCGGGCTGGGACATTTGCAATACATTTAGGTAAAGGCAAAAGCTTATTGTATTTATGACGGGATTAACTTGCTCGTAGCAGCAAGCTAGCTAGCGTGCTAGCGGCTAGCTAACTTAGCTTAGCTAGTTTTATCGGTGTAAAGACTTGGACAACTTAAATAGCATTTTTTACAGTGTGGAAAAAAGTGTGTATGTGTTGGGAGAAAAGGCGAAGTTGTGTTGGTTGCCAGACGAGATTGAAGTTGGCTCCTTATTCGAATTTCCCGGTCCACCTTAAATGCTGCAGCAGTTACGTTCTGGCGCCCGAGGCTCCAGATCCTAAATGCTGCACCATTTAAGGTGGAACGGGAAATTCGAGTAAGGAGCCAACTTCAGCCTCGTCCAAATTGGCTAGGCTAAGCTAGGCTAAGCTAAGTTAGCTGTGTGCTGCAAGCTGAGCTGCAGTTGGCAAAAAAGCAGAGTCAGATTTGGCTTTTTGTGGGTGGAAAATACATAAAATAAGTAGAAATGAGATTAAATGTGACGCTTTTGCAGGAGGAGGGAGCAGCTTTGGCCATAAAATGTGTGTTTTTTTTAACGAGCATACTTTGTTATGGGTTAAATGTCCTGCTGGAGAGTTTTTTGATGATGTGAGTAGAAGGGTTTTTTGCAAAGGTCAGAAAATAGAAAACAGGAATAGATAGTCCTGACTTTGAAGTGATTATGCAAATGAGCCCTGAATAATCTGAAAGAAGTGCTTTTGTTTTTGTCAAATGTCTGAATGAGGATCTTGAGCAGCAGGCTTGTCCTCTCCTCTCCAGCAGGATAATGAGATGCTGTAAATGTGGGGAATTTTTTCCTTTTTTTTTTGGGAGCAGGATTATTCTGGGCGTTTCTTGCAGGTCGCCATCATATGACTTGAATAAAAGCAGACGCTTCATATCTCTTCCTGCGCTCCTGACTGCCATCCTGAGCCTGGGGGAGACCTTAATAACTCTAGGTGACAGATTCCCATACCCAGATTCCCAGATTAAGCCTGGGACTAGAGTAAAAAAGGATTTTAATGGATAGTAACTGTTAGCGTTGCCGATTAATCCAAGACTGGGTTTAATCCGTGTTGGGCTTTAAGCCACTATGATTTGTGTTTAGCGGTATTCCTTTAGGAAAGTGCTGATATGAGTAGAATGATAGAAGACAGTGGGCAGGTGCTGAGTATTCCTTTAAATTCCAGTGATGTGTGTGTGTGTGTTTTTTTCTGTTTAATTTAACCTTTAAAGGTACAGTGTGTAAGATTTAAGGGGATTTATGAGCAAAAATAGAATATAGTAAACAAAACCATGTTTTCATTATTGTCTAATTTAATTACAAGTTGTGTTTCCGTTAGCTTAGAATGAGCCCTTCATATCTTCATAGAGAGCATCTCCTTCCAGTATGGACAAACCAAAGACTGGCTCTGACATGTTTTTATGCTGGAGCGGCAGCTTGAATTTGGGGGCAATTTAGCTTCGTTCGGAAGATTTAGAAAGAAGAAGTGGTTGCTGCCAGTGCTGGCTAACAATTTTGCGTGATGTGAGAAGTTTGAGAACCCAAACTTTGACAAACGGAGGATCATACTTACCATTTAGCACAAGAAAAAGCGAGGGAGGGAGAATCCTTGTCATCAACGAAGTGAAAACATGAAGAAGCAAAATGAAGTCGGAACAGGCGACAGCCATTGTAGGTTCTACGGCATGCTTGGAAAGGGAGGTGTGAGGGAGGGGATTCAGTGGGTTGCAGTCCGCAACCTCACTGCTGGATGCCACTAAATCTTACACACTGCACCTTTAAGATGTAAACAAAGTAATTCAGGGGGCTTTGATGAGACATTTACTTTCTAGAAAATCTAACAGTGGTACTGATGGGAACCAGATGACTGAAGAGTTTAAGCTCCCTCACAGACAGTTATTACATTAAGTGCTTAGGAATACGCAGCCTGATGTCTGAGATATTGTTTTACAATGGTTTTGAGAAGGTTAGGTGGCCGCCAAAAAGTATGTGGACATGTGTCCCATACTCCAAAATGTGTTAGATTCATTGTGTTACAAAAACAAGTGGCATTTATTTTTAAACAAACCATTCCTAGACTGTAATGTTCTTTGCCAAAGTATTTCCGAAGGCTGCTGGTGAGTTTCAGATGATTTGATTGTTTTAGTTGTTTCTTTGCAGACCTCTGCAGGCTTGCATCTAAAATGCCTTCGTGCTCTTCTGAGTTCATGATTCCATTGATGAACACAAGCTCAGGGACACCACTGTAAGGAAAACAGTCCCAGATTTTGACTTTTCCACCTTTGTGCTTTACATCATTCTTAATGCAGTGTGGTTGGAATTCTTCTCCAGCATTTCTCCACACCCAGAACCCACCATCAGGTTGATCCCTGCTAGAAAAGCCAGCCAGCAAAATCAGCATGTGTTGTGTTTTGGATTCTGGTCAGCAGCAGTGGACACTTTTATGCTGATCACTAGCAAAACCAGCATATGTTGTGTTTTGGAAGCTGGTATGCTGGTCAGCAGGAATGGAAGCTGTTAATGCTGAATGCCAGCAAAACCAGCATATGTTGTGTTTTGGATGCTGGTGTGCTGGTCAACCAGCATGACCGTGCTGGGCGACCAGCTAAACCAGAACCAGACCAGCATAAACCAGCTTAGACCGACAAGGAATTCAGGTGTTTTTTCAGGAGGGATGTTGTACTAAAATAGTTTTATCTGAAACAGAAATCATTTTATTAAGCGTTTTATGGAGCAACCTGAAGAGCTTCATTAAGGTTTACCAATGGTTAAAGTGTCCAAATGCTTTTTGGGGCCACTGTACATAGTAAAGTAGTGCCCAAAGAAAACTTAATTTTTCACTATTTACATTTTTTATCATAACAAAACCTCACACGTGTAGGTTCACTGGTGGTTTTGGATAGTAATTAAAATATCTGTACTTGTGTTGTAGTCATGGTGACCCCTGGTTCCTATCACCACCACTGTAAAGAAATCTGTACAATCAATCATTTCACACCAAACCACTCTGAATGGCTCTATTTACATCTCAACCATTGAATTATGTTGAAGTTTTGTTAAAAATGAAGGAACTCAACTTTGATGTATGACTTAAAACTAATGAACACAACTTCATTCTTCAACCTAGAACAAGCTTTGACCCTAGTGGTATGTGCAACCTGTCTCTGCCATCTAGACTTGTGTCTTTCAGTATTTTTTTTTTTCTTAAATTACCCCAAATACTCAGGCATTGCCTTTATAGAGGTTGGTCGGACTTAACTGAGTAGCATGCTTGACCTTGACCTTAGACAGTACTTCAGATGTGTGAATAAATAATCTTTCATTATAATGATGGTTAAGACAGAAAACAGTTTTGCGTACACAGACGTGTAGATTGGGAGTAGGAAGCTCCTTACAATTTGATTTTGAACCTTAAATGCAATTATAAAATCTTCTTCATGCATCTTGATTTTTCATTCCAGTAACATGCACTGAGTTTTTCCTGTCCATCTTTACAAGTAGCATTGGCTTTAGTTTAATTTGAGTGTAGCTTTCACAACCTCAGTTGGCCACAGTAAAATGGATCAGTATGTGTAAATTAGAGCTTTTTGTGAGTTAGATAGTTTCCTATCACTGTGTAAAAGAAGCTCTGTGCTGCCTTTATTATTAGATGTACTGTGGTAGTTTCTGAGCAAGCGTGTGATGTTCCTTTTTAGCACAACCATCCAGGGGTTTGTTCTGTGATCAGGAGATTGAGTTTGAATTCTGGCAATTCTGTGACCTCAGAAAACGCTAGTGGCGTTTTGGAAAGAATTGATTATTTTTCTCACAATTACGATGATGAGGAACTGCTTGTTTGAGTGGTTTATTTTGGTAGAGTGGCACGGCAGGTGTTGTAAAGGTTCTGTTTTAATTTTAATTCATGTAAAATGATTTAAATGATAAAACATTAATTGGTCCGTTCATCATGTTCACACAATGTAAAGGGCAATTGGGTTTAAGTGATGTAGAAAAATAAGAGTTGAAATAAATGGAGATATTTATTTATTTATCTGTCAGTCATAATATTCATAATATAGGACTGATATTTCTTGTATGTATAAAGTCTCTCTCAACTTTATATCTCATTGTTTCATGAAATTATAATTATTATATGTAATTACATAATTATAATAAATGATCATTTGAAGTGATTCTGAGAAAAATAGATTTAAAAATCTGTTTATATGTGCAGCTTTTATTTCTTTCTTTTTTTTTTTCATATTGGATTTTTACCCAGTTTTCTCTCCAATTTAGTCGTCTCCAATTCCACTTGCTAGTTAGGACTCCCCCAATCACATGATACTATCGAAACTAGAAGGGTGAAGGCAGCAAAGGCTTCCTCCGAGACCAGTGAAGTGTCACCGCATCTTTTCGAACTGCTGCTCACGCAACGTCATTGGACAGCCGAACGCTACGTCAGCTAACAGATGCCTGCACTGACTAGCATCACGTTGAGTGATGGGGGGGTGAAGGGTGGGGCCACCCTGCCCACCCAGAGAGCGAGGCTATTTGTGCTCTCTCGGACTCCCGGCTACGGATGGCTGTAGCATCACCAGGGATCGAACCCACGATCTCCTGATGATAGGGCCAACGCTTAGACGGTTGCGCCACTTCATAGCCCCCCATGCAGCTTTTATTTGCTCAGAAAAGAAAACTCTAATATTAGAGTAAATACAAATGATATGAGTACAATCGGTAGTTATGCTATGAATGTTAATGTGTTTGTTTACCCATTTCCAAGCCTCTCCTCGAGGAAGCCCATTATTAACTGAAGTTATCATCCAACATCTGGCTTGGAAACATCTGGAACAAACTAGCTCACAAGATTTTTTTGAACATTTTTGCCATTTACTGTTTTTATGTTTATTTGCATCTATTTAAATGTCGTGTGGTGTTTTTACAAGCACAAAGACAAACTGCCAACATAAAAGGATTTAAATAACATGCTTAAGTGCACACTACTTAGTTCCTGTTTAACACACAAA